ACTCAGGTTTGGCAACCTTCGAGATTGCATTAGAAGTCTTCTTGAGCTAGTTTCATGTTGGTAGGACCTATTCAGTCTCAATCAAATATGGGATCTTGTTTCGATTGGTGATAAGGACGTCTTCTGTTATTGATGGAGGTGGTGTGTTGATGTTCCTCGGGAAATTGTTTTCTTATGGATGAGGTTTGCATTTCCTAAGAATGTGCACGGTTTTGTTGGTTTACATCCTTCGAATTGGGTCGATAGTTCAACCATTATCCTATTTTCAGGTTGTATGTGACCATGCTTTCGTAAAATTTTGCTTGGGTAGCAGCTTGCTCTATGGAGGGAATTGGGTGTGGTAGGTTTGCAACATTGTTGTACTCGTGCTCTTTCAAAAAAAACATTATTGTACTCGATTACTAATTGTGAGGGACGTTTTTTAGGTCCCTTCAAGGCAATGGAATGAGGTGAATATCTTTTTCTTGGAGTGTTTAGCGAATGTTGTAATATCGACAAGGTCGATATGAGATCTGGAGCATTCCATGCATAGGATGAGGCCGGGGAGGGCATTCCATACTCATGTTGTGGGCTCGGAGGCAATCCAGACCCATTTTAAGGACCTGGTAGGGGTATTCCAGTCATGGGTTGTGGGCCTAATGGTTATGATTATTCATTTCATTTATTTGTGATACTCTCAGTATTGACGCGTTGATGGGGATCGGAAGACCCATAAATCAGTTGGTTTGGATAGGGAGCAGTCAAGGGTTGTTGGGAGTACCAGTCAGGTATCATAATGAATATGTTGAATGTCTGCTCGGTATTTAAGTTTGTTCGCAAGTTGCTGTTAGGGATTAGATGAAATGCGGAAATTCTTGGTTTGATCATCTTCTCTCGTCGGTTCAGAGGTTGGTAATGGCATGGCAGAGAGTTAAAGGTTATTCTAAGGTTTTGGTGCATCATCCGGATTCGAATTGGGAGAGGTTCATTATCAACTTGTTTTGAGTATCTTTTCTGCATGTTTTGTGGTATCCTTAGTCTCTGACTTGGGGTGGATTCACGGATGGCCATCTCGAGATGGCTTATGGTGGGAACTTGATTTGAGAATCGTGTGTGCATCAGTGTAATGATTGTAAATTAGGGAGATGTGATTTAAGGAATTGTTATGCCAAAGGCATCAGCTAGTGGGCCAGGACTTGGTTCCTGTGTTTGTGCTCTGCGATGGTTCTATCGGTGAAGGTCGGGCAGGTCATTGGGTTTTAGAATTTTAGCAGCTGCGTATCATTCCGACAGTTAAGGAAATTCATGCCATGTATCTCATTATATTCATGGGGTTATTATCATCAAGATTTGAATAGATAGTTTAATGGATAAGCATCATGGTTTTAGCTCTGGATTAGTAAAGGTGGTCTATCAGGGAGTCAAGACTATTTCGAGTCTTAAGGTTTCATGTAAGGAAGGGTTGGTTTCACATAGGGTGGGATTGTTTTGTTTCATGGGATTATGGACTCTTCTTCGATTTAGTTGCCTTTGAGAGGTTGTGGTATGTTCATGGTCGTGGTTGTGCCCCTCAGGATGTCAGATATACTGGGGATGGTAAGGAATGATTTTGAGGATGAAATCAAATTTAAGTGGGGGAGAGTTGTAACACCCCAGTCTTCAAGTAATTTCAAATTCATCCTTTGGGTTGTAATTATGTCATTTTTTAGTCCTTAGATTGGAAAGAAGTGGCCACGGGAAGCCCTAGGGGCAAAACGGTAATTTATGGAGCAGGAGTTGTATGTTGGGTGTACATGTGAGTACGCTAAGCGTACTAAGGAGCGCCTAATAATCTGGGTGTATGCATATGTATGCAAAGCGTATTAGTGTTTGTGTGAAACCCTAACTTTTAGGGTTTGATGAGTATTTAAGCTCATTATGGCCCTTTTTCCCCATCTTTTCAGCCTCCAAGTTCTGAAATCGTTTTTGGCAAACCCTAACTTCTCGTGTGTGTGTGTGTGTATGAGTTAAGAGTGTGTTTCTTGTATGGTTGAAGGAGAAGTTAGTGTATCAAAGGAGTCAAGGAAGGAAGCAAGCTTGTAGATCTGGGATTATCATCTTCTTGGGAAGCTTCAGGAGCTATAAAGCTTTTACCTCTATGCTTGGATTGTTTAGATCTTGTTTTGGTGGCTTTTTGGTGTTCTTCTTGTCCCAAAAGTCCCATTGTTATGCAGGCATTGTTTTGGACGTTTTGAGTTGTCCTTTTAAACCCTAGGAAGGGTTCTAAGTTATAAAAAGGAGGTCCATTTGGTTGGTTTGGCTTCATGTTGCTAATAGGAGGTCTTAATGGATTAAGACCATGCATTAAGCCCTTTTTAGACGACCAAAGTCTTACAGTTTGAGACTTTATGGTTCTTTAGTGTTTTTGAGCCATGGATCTAAAATTTGCGCTTAAGTGGATAAGCCATTAAGCACATACTGGACTTTTGGATCAGCGAGGGTATGCCCTGCGTAGGGAGGATTACGCCTCGCGTACTTGGTCAGCCTCCCCGTAACTTGTTCAATGCGAGGTCTCGTGTATGCAAAGTGTACCTACGACGTACGCGACTGTTTTTCGGCTCCTTTTGCTTTAGGCTTTGGGTATTGGGCCATCTGTTGGCATTTGATACTTGGGCCCTAATGGACTATCTGGATAAGTTTGTTTTAGGCGAATAAAAGGATCGGACCTTGGATAAGGCCCCATAAGGAGTTGGGCTCAATTTGAAAAAATGGGCTAAGTGTGTGCCTTAAGGTAATTTGAGCCTTTTTGGATCAAGATTCAGGTTTGGTTTGCTTTGGATTGTGTTGGGTCGTCTGGGATTTTATGCTTTGGGCATTTGGCTTGCTGGATCTTCTTGAGTGAAAGCCTAATTCGGAAAATTAGGCCATAATTGGACTTAAGGAGTTTATTTCGATATTAGGTATTTTGTCATCTACTTTGGGCCATGGTTGAGGAAGGGTAAACATGTCTTTTACCCTAAATTGGACTCGTAGTATGAGTCAGCGACTAGATGTTGATGGACTGTCCTTTTGGTATCTGTCAGCGAGTGTGTAATAGCAGATCTGCAGTTAGAGGTTATTCATGGAATCAACTATTGATAGGGTGTTGTCTTGATGTGGCGGTTCGGGATTTGGTAGCTAATAGCTAGGGATTATTCGTGTGATCGGCAGTTCAAGGTTAGTCTTCCTTAATATACTTTCGGGTCGAAGGCACCAAGGCTGGCCCATTGGTTGGATAACCTGATATTGCTGATATGCTGAGTATGATATAGTATTGCATGCTATTCTGGTAGATTGGTGGGACTACCTATAATACTATTTGCACGATTATTTGTATATGTTGTTATCTATCGGCATAGTATGTTGGGTTGAGGTTGTACTGCTTCGTGTTGTAGCCAACAAACCCTATAGCATTCCAGATATAAGCTGAGGGCCAGGTAGGGCATGCCAAAATCATATTGAGGGCTTAATAGCATTCCATATATGAGCTGAGGGCTAGGTACGACATGCGAGACTCATACTGAGGCCTTAATAGCATTCCAGATACGAGCTGAGGACCTGGTTGGTATGCTAGACTGGTGATGTAGGCTTGAGGATGTTGGAGCAATCTGGATATGAGCTGAGGGCCAGGAAGGGCATGCCAGACTCATAAATTCATACTGAAGGCTCATGGGCATTCCAATTACGAGCTGAGGGTCGGGTAGGGCATGTCAGACTCGTACTGAGGGCCAGGAAGAAAGTTAGACATAAGCTGTGGGCCTAGGGGGCAAGCCAGACTTATGTTGTGGGCTTAGGGGTAATCCAGTCTGTTAGTTGTGGATCCATTGCATGATGTTACTTTTGTATATATGCTATTTTTTGTGTGTTGGTACTTTGAGGGAACTCACTAAGCTTCGTGCTAACAGTTTTGGTTTATGGTTTCTGGTACTACAGTGGAACTTGGCAAAGTGAAGGCGTGACCGTACACATCCTCGCATTTTGGACTTATGATTTCTGGAAACTCTGATAATGTGAACGTTTTGAAACCTATGTTGAGAAAGGTTCTGATTTTAAAATAATGTTTTGGGATTAATGGGTTTTGTAAACACTTCTATAGAAAATGGGTTCCTTTGAAAACTTTAAATTTTATGAAAATTTAATGGATGTTACATATCAGGTAGCACAACAAGATGCCCATGTTGCTTCATGATACTCCCAAGTGCTCCAAACCTCTTCCAGATCCTCCAAACCCCCCTTTATATGATTTGTTCCTTTGTTAGACGATTCATTCCCTTCTCAAAATGATCCATTCATTTCTCACATACTCCATGAACCCCAAGTGCTCCATTGTAATCTAAGTGCTCCATGTTGGACAAGACTTCATACACCAATAACAAATTCACTTTTTAAAGATTTACTAGCATCATCATTTTGTTTGGCAAGAGTATCACCAATAAATCCTACTTTATTATGTTCCTTTAAGCATCTAAGCATAACACTTCTCCACATCCGATAGTGTTCGTACCAGTGAGTTTGAATGAAACCAAGGTGGTAATAGTATTATTAGATTGTAAATGTAAGGGTTAATACCATAAAAGCCATAAGTTTTTACACCCCAATTCTAAATTAGCCCTAAATGGATTTTTTGTGTCTAATTAGCCTAAATAGTTGTGACCCCGTTTCAAAATCGTTTTATCATTCGGTTAACAACAGGTCAAGTCACGCAGTCGGTCACCACTCTCCTATACTACTTGATCGTTCTTACACCACCAAATATCACCTTTCACAGAAACGTCTTGCATCAAAAAGCGTTTCATGTAGTTGGTCTTAGGAAGAAGAAGGGTTTGAAAAGGGTTTCTTACACCATTTTTGTATGCAAAAAAGCTTCTATTTTGAAGTTGAAAATCACTGAAGTAGACAGGTACGTGGGGCGCCAATAAGAAATTGATGTGTATGTGTGTTCTTATCTTACATAATCGAGTTCCATAGTGTCACTTACAAGTATAATTTTTCATTTTGAACAGATGGCTTCATCATCTGGAACTAAAAAGGTGAAAGGGCCTGAAAAGGTTTATGTAAGGGACGAGGACTCTGATGATGATCTCATAGTTTTCTCTTTCCTGGATTTTGCACCAGAGACCTTTAAACCAACCTCAAACCTTTCTGATGACCCATTTCTTAACATATTATGTGATGAAAATATGCTAAGGAGCACTCTTGATGGATTGGGAGATGATGATCAGGAAGTTGGTGTTAAGGATCTAGAATATGATCATATTGATGATCAAAATGACGGTGAAGTAGGTATAGAGCATAGGGTTCATGATCCAGACATACATTGGAAACAAATGAAGCCTGTAGTGGGAGAGTGTTACGAGTCCCCTTCTCAACTCAGGTTTGCATTAACTAACTATGCAATAGCTAATGGATATCAGTTGTGGTTTATGAAGAGTGATAGGCGTAGAGTGATTGCTAGGTGTGGGAAAATATATAAAAAAGACCCATGTCCCTTTAGAGTTTATGCTGCTTGGAAGTATAATGAATGAACATTTCAGATTAAATCTATATGTGACATACATCTATGTGCTAGAAATTTTAATTTTGGAACTTTGGTTAGTTCTAACTGGTTAGCCAAACATTACCTGAAGGATATTATTATGAAGCCAAAGATGACATTAACTGAGATGAAGGAAGATGTACTTAGGAAGTTTTCAGTAAATGTATCTAAGGGGCAATGTCACAGGGCTAGGACAAAGGCAAGAGAGATGATAGAAGGTAAGTTAGAAGAACATTATGCAAAGGTATGGGACTATGCTGCAGAAATCCTCAGGTCTAACCCAGGGAGTACTTGTAAGGTGGGAGTAGATTCTAATGCAAGTGGCATGAACTATTTCAAAAGGTTTTATGTGTGCTTAAAGGCTTTTAAGGATGGTTGGAATAGGGGTTGTCGACGTGTGATAGGTTTGGGTGGTTGTTTCCTAAAGGGTCAGATCAAGGGAGAACTTTTGACTGCTGTTGGAAGAGATGCAGACAATCATGTATATCCAATAGCATGGGGAGTGATTGATGTAGAGAACAAAGATAATTGGACTTGGTTTATTGAGCTGTTAGTTGCTGATCTTGACCTTGATTGTGGTAGGGGTCTTGTGGTTATTACCGATCAGCACAAGGTAAATTATACTGTAAAATTGTTTAATTATTATACATTGATAATAATTTTGTTTATCCAATGCCAGGGTTTACTACAAGCTGTTACAGAACTACTTCCATATGTTGAACATAGACAATGTGCCAGGCACATCTATGCAAACTTCAGGAAGAAATACACTGGGTTAGAGCTCAAGAACCTGTTTTGGGAAGCTACCAAAAGTACTGTGGAGGGGGACTTTATAGCAACAATGAAGAAAACCAAAGACATAACTCCCAGTGGCTATGAATGGCTGATGTCAAACAAACCACATTCTTGGTGTAGGGCATTTTTCTCTCATGGATATGCTTGTGAGGCTATAGAGAATGGCATATCAGAGTGTTTTAACTCAATGATCATTCACATGAGAAAAAAACCAATTCTAACAATGCTTGTGGAAATCAGGATTTATTTGATGAATAGGTTTTATCATCAAGCTGCTACAGTTTCTCAATGGAAAGGTGACTATGGCCCAAACACCTTAGAGAAGATTAAGGAGTTTGGAAAGCATATGATGTATGCTTATTTGATTTTAATTGTGATCTTAAGTCTATACATTTACATTACTAATTACTTATAATTTTAGGTTCTGGATAGTAATACCAAGTGGAGGGGCATTATTTGAGACAAGGCATGGATATTCAGCTTACAAGGTGGATTTAGATGCTCATTCTTGTTCATGCAGATTATGGGAGATATCAGGGTTACCATGTGTCCATGCTCAAGCTGCAATCAATTTCACACATAGAGATCCAACCGATTTTATTTCCTTTTGGTTCCATAAGGATAAGTTTATAGAGACATACAGGGACAACATCTTACATGTTAATGGAAGTAATATGTGGTCCTATACTGAATATGTGAAGCCCTTACCACCCCTTGTTAGGAGAATGCCTGGAAGGCCAAAAACAAAGAGAATAAGACATGCCTCAGAATATCAGGATTCTAAGTTCCCTACTCAAAAGGCAAAGGTTAGCAGGACTGTTAGGTGTGGGAAATGTAGGGAACTTGGTCATAATAAGCTGTCTTGTAAGAATGGAGAAGGTCCAAGTGACGCTGTCCCTAAAAGGAAAAATGGTAGACCAAAGGGAGATAGGGGAGGGAATTTAGTTGTGAACATTGCAAAGACACCAAGGAATGTAGATAAGGGAAAGAAGAAAGTTGTTGAGGAAACATCAAAAGAATTAAATGAGGGACAGAATAAAGTTGTTGATCATACATCAAAAGAAGCAAGTGAGGGAAATATGAAAGTTGTTGAGAGCACATCAAAAGAAGCAGGTAAGATGATAGATGTTGATCAGTCATTTTCTCCTTTGAAGAGAATGAAGATGATGGCAAGGAGGGGAGGTAAGATCAAATATGTAGGGAGAATAGGGGTTGTGCATGGTAGTATAAGTCAAAATGTGGCAGGTGTTGATGAAGCTGTACTTACCTGCAATGAAAAGCTTGACCATGAAGATTTTGAAACTATTAAAGATCTGCAGGCATCTGGATATGATCATGGGGAAATTGTTGAAGCTTTTAATAAGGTGTGTAGTTATAAATTTAATTATTAACACAATTTTCTTGAGCATTATGTGATAATATGGTTATGTTAATTTCTTATTCACAGTTGACAAAAGAGAGGAATGAGATGTTAGTTGAGAGTATAGTTGATGAAGAGACCAGTCAAGAAACACAATATCCGTTGGTAAGAAAAAGGAAGCCCTCAGAAAGGATTATCAAGATTAAGTTGAGAAAAGCAATACATGATCCAGATGGAGGTGGTTCAACAACTGGGAAAGCACTTACATTGGACTGATGTTGTTATGGACGGGGGGTTAATTGGACATAAATCTTTTGATAGCCCTTTTTTGTGAAAGCATCTTTTGGTAAGAAGCTTCCAATTTGTTGACAACATGTTATCTTTTGACTGTAAATTGTAGTAACATTGTCATTTTGGGAAATCATCTTTTGGCTTGTAACACAGTCATTTTGGGAAATCATCTTTTGGCTTGTAACATAGTCATTTTGGGAAATCATCTTTCTAGTTAATGCTTTTCATATTAATTGTCCCGTAGGACTATGTATTATAAGGGTATCCATATTACAACCATCAAAATGTTTTCAGATGCTATTACAACTGTGCCAAAATAAGCATCTAATACAATTTCACCTAACCAACAACTTCACAAAAGACTAAACTTAACTTCCTAACTTCCTATAATCTCACCAGCAATACAGTCCCTGTTACCAACATCATTGCAAATAGCATGACCATTATGAACATAAGCTTCATCATCAACATCAACCTCCTATTTTGATCCACATTCACCTGTTCCAACTGAGCATTACCATCAACCATACCAACCAGAGCTAAATGCATTTGGTACATGAGTTTTTGTAATCTTCACTAGGCAAAGGTGGGTCCAACCACATGAAGAACTTACACTACCTGGAAGGATCCTGCACATTTCTATGACAGATTTTCCCTTAGTCCCATAACAAAACTTTATACTGGATCAAAGAGTGAAGAACATACCTTGTAGTTGGTGCATCCCCTAAATTTTCTTCCAGGATTCTTGTCCGTCCACGAAATTGAGAAGCTAGCCTCAACACCACAACGACACAAAACCATGGGGTTGTTTCTGTTCCTGAAATTGACATTAATATTTTGAAATCCTTAAGTCATTGACCCTGTAAACCCTGTAGATGAACTAGCCACGAAGAAGTTGATGCGTGGAAGAAGAAGTCGGAGAATGTAGAAATAGAAGATGGAAGATGGGTTTCTAACGGTAAAACCCTTATTTGTAAAGGGGTAACCGGCTGAAACCGGGAAACCAGCTAACATGGTTCTAGGCAAAAGTCAACACATACATAATGGCTAATTAAACACAAAAAATCCATTTAGAGCTAATTTAGAATTGGGATGTAAAACTTATGACTTTTATGTTACATGTAGAACTACCACCACTCGGGGAGGAATAACCATTTTTAAAATATAAAAACAAACTATCAGGCAGTAATGAAGATTTGCCAAACACGATTTCCATGACAAATAGAAGTAGTAATAGAAATATATATATATATATATATATATATATATATATATATATATATATATATATATATATATATATATATATATATATATATATATATATCATATGATATACACATGTAACATGTAACGCAAATAAGAGAAGTCAATCAACAAACAAATAACTTGCGTACTCAAGACAACCAAATTCTCCCACATTTACAATCTAGGAAAAAAAAAAAGAAAAAAGAGAACAAGAATGGCTAAAAAAAGTCCCTTAATGACTTTTGAAGTACCGACTCGGTTCGGGCTTTTAGCCGCAAAACCAACGTAACAAACGACACTATTAGGCTGTGTATTCATCCTTTCCAAACAGGCAAAAAGCTAGCCAATGAATGCATGTGTTTTTATATTAAAATAAAAAAATAAATAAAAAGATAAATAATATTGAGTGGTAATAATAGCATGGTAGTGCACATTTAATCGGGATGACATGGTGAGCAACATTTTTGTTGTGGGGATGTAGTGGCCATACATCTTGGTCTTATACTCTTATACATCTTGGTCTTATACTCTTATATAGATCTTGAACAAATATCTCAACTTACACAATACCCCAAATGTTTACGGAATCTACCCTCTTCTATTAATAACCTGCATAAGATACTTGTTTAAGTTCATTTATTTTATGATAATTGTTAAGTTTATTCATTTTCCAACATAATCGTCTACACTTGGGTAGCGTTTCTCTTTTATACAGTTTTTGTAATAACACACGTCGACATATCGTTCTTGTGACTAGTTTCTTTTGCAAACAGTTCGATAGTTTGATCTACGAATTGAGATCTAGAATTGACTAGAAACATAATAATGCATATATTATTGAGTATTTAGTAAGCTGAAAAACTATTACAGAAAGTGGAAATTATACTCTGTCATGAAGAGAAAAACTATTACAAACCCTGGAAACTTTGATTGATCAATTACTCATTGCTTACCACAGGAACCCTTTCATACCCCACAATCTCCCGGAATCTCTTTGGAAGCATAAATCGACCACCAAAACGTTGCTGCAAGAACACGATCACTGCAAACGCAACACCTCCACAAGCAATGAACACATCCCAAGAAGGTGAGTAGAAATCTGCTCTTGGATTTGCATACAGATAGAACCGATGAAACTGGCGACTTATGTTCTCTTGACCCCTATAAAGATCATACGCATGAGGTAGTAATCGAACAAAAGTGTTCCCTATGTAAAACAAATAAGACAAAGCATTCCCTTTTGAAATCTTAAACATGTTAAGTACGATTTGTGGGAATAGGAATCCGTCAAGTGTTAACCCCGCATAAGACCTCAAATCACCCCAGATTGATCGGTTACTCGAGATTATGTAATCATTGTTCTTCCAATTCGTTAGAAACATCATCAATCCACCAACTATATAAACGGGAAAACAAACAACCAGAGTCCATATCTCATGATTCCATTGACTCTTTCTGTTTCCGTTGTTATCACCATTCCCAAGTTTTTTTGTCCATGTCAATTGGAGGAGACGGAATTGCAAAATGAAAGCTACCATTGTCACTATCCTCACAATCACTTCATTCACTTCAAGCAATCCACCACTCCCCTCGAATTGAATGTTTTGAAAATAACGAGTGTTTGAAAACATTGCCTCGAAATTCAACACTAAAGGAACCATGTACCCAAGTGTAAGAATCACCATCATCAAAACCGAAATCAAAGGAATCATATCCGGATTCTTTTTGATATGAAAGAGTTGAAGGACGATGAAAAGACACGAAAGTGTCCGTGAAATCAAGTCCAATATGATTTCCAAATCCGTTCTCCATATGGTTTCCATTGCTTCGAGTTTAGTGTAAGCGAGAGAAACGGCATTTAAACTGTCGAAATACAAAACATCTGTCTTTTCACGTAAGCTTTCTATGCTTCCCTTCATTAAAACACTTCCATTATTCCCATTTGTACTCGGGAATTGGAATTGCACCAGAATCTCGCAATCGAAAGACTCATTTTTCAAGTTCTTCTCGGATGAAGGTAGATTTCGACAACCAACCATACAAAGTCTTCCTGTTTCACTATCATAAAACCCCTCTGCCGATATCTCAACTCTATCATTTTTAGTTAACGGTAACGACGGAATCCCGCTTTCCGATTCCGACGTAGAATTAGCTAACATTCGGAAGCTAATCTCATAGCTTATGTTCATCGGACCGGTGTGACTGGTGGCTGCCTGCCATGGATTAAAATTTGAATCCAAAGCTTCATACGAGTTGTAGAACTGATTCCCGACAAAGATCGGAAACGCATAACCCATGGAATTCGTGTTTCTGGACTTGACAGACATGTCAAAAGTCATATCCCGACTATACCCCGACGGGTACACAACCCCTTCCCTTTTACCAACATCTGCTCGAGGGCAAATTTGTCTTACTTTCTCCAATTTTGTAAACTCATACTTTGACCCGTAATTCTCCGAACTATGATCAAAGCTTTGAAACTTGATTGGTTGAAAGTACCCGACATCATCGGCTTTCTTGGTTGACCAAATTTGACCTTCGGTGGTATGTGTGTTTTTGATTGACCGAACTTCAGGGAACCATAAGGTCAACCTGATCGAACAATCTCCAACATGAGCACTTTCCAAAGGGTCAGTTTGATTCAAGATACGACAAGCTACTATGCAAAGCTCGTTTTTTGCTCTATTCCATGTTCCATCGCCAATTAACGTTACATTTGGATTGAAAGATTGGTACCAACGGGCATAACTTGTGTTTTGCAATTCTACTAAAAAACGCAACTTTTTTTCTTCCAATGAACACTGAAACCCATACAACGACAAAAAAGGGTACCCAATACTTTGATTTTCCAACCGGTAAATCTTGAATTGATACGCTACCTTTGAACATAAGTCTAAAGATTCCATCCTAGCGACTGAATGTTCGTTTCCGTTTGCCCCATTACAATCTTCATTGGCAACCAACGAGTATTTGTATTTCAAAAGACCCACTTCAGGGAATCCCATCATTGAAATCGGCTCAAAGTAATCGGAATCATGAGGCGAAGCTAAACTCGCCAAGATTCCACCGACTAAGCTAGTATTTATATTCATAAGCTCAGGTAAATTAAGCTTCAGAACTGCATCAAGTTTCAAACGTTTACCTTTTTTGGAAAACCAATTTGCGGATCCAACCATACAAAGCTTATTGGTGGAAACTGACAAGAACCCATCTAAGTTAAACACCAATGGACGATCAAATCGTGAATGGTTAGATTGGAAATGGTATATATTTGATGAAGCGAAAGTTAATTGAGCTTGGGTTTTGTATGTGTTGGAGGTGTTTGTTTTGAAGATTCTATTTTTGGGTCTAAATTGGATGAATCTTTGTGAGAGTGAATCTGGGTCGAGAATGTTTTGAGCGCCGGTGTAATGACTGGTTAAGGTTTTGAGAGATGGGAATCGGGTGTATGTGATGGTGGTCGGAATGGCTTCGGGAACGAAGGAATTGCAGTGATCGGAATAGGAGATTGTTTTAGTTGAGGAAACGACTGTTGTAACAAGGATGAAGATGGTGATGGTGATGAAGGGAATGGAAAGGATTTTTGAAGGAAAGAGTGAAGGATTCATGGCTGGAATGAGTGATGGTTGATCGTTGATTATGCTTTCGTCTTATAGTGTGTTTAATTGGTCAATGGATTGTGGGGAGTGGGTCAAACTGACACCTTCCAAGAAAGAAACTACAATGGATTTTGATAT